GTTACACGTCTTGGACATTTTTTACTTATTTATTTTTTTTTGATTATTCTTTGATTAAGCAAATTTTATACATCAAATTCAGTACTAGTTAGCCAATGCATAGATCTAAGAAAACGATTTTAAAGTCTTAATTGTCCTTATGTAATAAATAATCTTATATTTCGAAATGTTATTTTATGACTGATTTTTGGGACATGGCATGACTACTATTACTATTCTGAAAAATGATAGATCCCACGTAAATTAGTGGAGTTCGGCATCGATAAATTTTGAAGAATATGGAAGAATATCCGAGTTGATCATGAAATCATTAACTGAAGAAATGTTAGTGTTTATTTGAGGATTCTTCACTTGAGGGGATGATAATGCTTGTTGTGCAATCATTGTTTGTTGAGGAGGCATATTGAAATTTCTGATTAACGATGTTTGTACAGTTGAAATAGCATTCAATTGTTGCGTTATATTTGGTGTCAATTGTGTTATGTCAACATAATTTGGGATTGAGGTAAATTGCGATTTGGATATTAGATTATTGTTATCATTACTATTATTCGTCAAAGAGGAATCATCATTTTGTACGGAGGAAGGTGATGATACTTGTGCTGCATATAAAGCATAATTCGAAGATGATTCCAAGTTCCTGAAGTCTCCCAAATTTTCTGCTGATAATCGAGCTGTAGATTCATTATTGTTAATTGTTGAAGATGGAATATCTGTTGTTGTTTGATGAGGAAGAGAGCAGACATCGGCAGCATATGAAGTATTCCTGGGTATTGCTGATGATATGTGATGATTATTTGAGCAGCATATCGATTGTTCATTTTCTCTTGAAGTAGTGTTGACTGTTGCAATATCAACCACGGATGGGCTTGACATATTTATATTATTAGGAGGAGCGGTGGATCCAGAGATAATAGTATTGTTATCGATACCAGTATAAGTGATCGGGGCAGAGCTAAACTGGTTATTATCGAAATCTGGTATTCGATTTATAGCATCATTGGATTTCGGATCATTAGGTGTAATGACATTATTATTTATTTGAAGTAGGGGTGGATCTTCAACTGCTGCTGATTCTGTTCGGCCTATTGATGAGTCAACTGAAATATTTCTTTTTCTACCACGAGGCTTTTTTTGAGTATTAGCATCCATACATAAAGAGTTTGTTGTCGGTTCGTAAGTGGAAGAACCAGTGGATATCGTAGAGAATGCATTTGTATGGTGAGCTTGTGTTGTATAAGTGTGAGTCGTGGTCTCGTGTGGGATGAATGGGTTTTTTGAAATGGGTAGAAACAAACTGTTTCCCGGTTTATTATTAAATTTATTTAGGAAATCCCTGGCGCCACACGGACACATAATTTGACTTCGGAGATTAAAGAATTCTTTGTAAACTTCTTCCAAGTTTTGTCTGTGTAAATCATTTAATATCTGGAGCTCTTCACATCGTGAATTGAGTTTTTCTAACGCGCTTTTCTTCTTTTGACGTGATTTTTTGGCTAAAGTATCAATACAAATTATTTTATTAATTTGTTACATAATAAATAAATTGAAACAAAATTCAAAAAATCAAGATATTTACCAGCTGCACGATTATTTTCCAATTGTCTTGCACGTTTGTTTAATTTTCTTTCGTCATCTTCCGCTTCGAAACGGTCGTTTGAATTGACTATATCAGCAGAAGCTTTACGTTTTTTTTGCCGCCCGTGTTCCAGCTGTTTTTGATCTCGATTTTCGGGCTCCATGAATATTAGTTGTTGTTCAGGTTGATATTCTTGTTGAACGGAAGCCGGGATTATTATTTCGCGCGTTGCGTAACTTTCTTGTTGATCAGACGCTGGAATTATTATTTCGGCTGGTTGTTGCTGTTGATATTGATTTTCCAGCTCTGCGATTTCTTGTTGATCTTGATGAAGCGGTTGATTTTGTTGACATTGTTGTTGTTGTTGTTGTGACATAGCAGGTTCTTCGGAGGTAGAGGAGAATCCCTGGGTCCACCAATCCTCCGCATTCGGGTTAATGAGGTTGTTGTTTTCTTGGGTCTCTAAAGACCTGAACGATGCTTGTGGTACCGTCACGTGATTTTCACCCTTTGAAGAAACAAAAATTTGTTCAGATGACATCAGATTGAACGGGTCTTTGGGGCCGTCGAGTTCCACCATGTATTTGGAGAATAAATCTACACCTACTCCCTCATAAAGCGGAGTGGAGGCTAAAAGTTGAAAAGAAAGAAATGTGTTAATATATAGTAAAAGCGCATAAGGTTCAATTCTTTTAGAAATAGTAATAAAAGACATGTAATAAGATTTGAATGAATTGAAAATGGATATAATAAATAGAAAAAGAATACTAACAACCCAAGAATTCCGGACTCTCAATCGAGTTTACTGACGGCGACGTTTCAGAACTAAACACGTCTTCGAAATTTTCGCTGAAGAAATTTTCCAGCATTTGCTCCATTTTTTTAGATTGTATAATTCAATAAATTTTGTATAATTCAATAAAGTTTGTATAATTCAATAAATTTTGTATAATTCAATAAATTTTTATGGATATATAATTTATTAATCAAGTGTAAAAACGATTATCAATTTTTTAAAAAAGTTTATTTTATTGGGGAATAACGCAAAGAATTTGTATTTTTGATCTGTATAATTTTTTTAATGTTACATAAGTAATAAAAATCTTATTGGCAACAATACACATATACTTAGTTGTTGAAAGCTTGTTTTAAAAAATTTGGGTTGAAGAGTGCAAGCAAACGATCTTTTATATCGAAGAGTTACCAGCACCTTGTGCGAGTACGGTTGTTTGTTTTTGTTTAACGAAATTGGTTGCATTATAATAATATTGTAGTAGTTTTTTAATTTATATTGTACAAATCGATAGTTTAAAAATTATATGCAATTATATAATATATAATTGTCGATTATGTTCCACCATGATGTAAGAGAGAGCTTCTTTTTATCGTAGATTTCAACACAAACAAATTAATTAGGGAAGAAGCAAGTGATGGGTTTTTTTATGTTACAAGTTGTTTATTTACTAATAAATTGTCATTATCTATCTTTTAGTATATCTGTGGGAAAAAAAAATAACAACATCATCGACAACAACAACAACATCATCATCAGCCTGTTTCGGGTGACTCTAGTAAAACTCGCTAAACTTACAAAATATATATTGAAGTTGGAAAAAAATTTGATGGCGAAAAATATATTATCCCAGCTTTTTTTTTCCAGTAAATTTTCGGGAAATCTGTCTATTGTGTGTATTTTCGCGGAATCACACACAAATGAATTCCCCTCATCTGTGAAACACTAATTTACCCTGTAGAAAAGTCACATGTTTTCAAATAATCGGGTCCCCTGTCGCTGGTCAGCTGTGTAATGTTCACATCTAATTTGAAGAACCTTGGCATAAAATAAAAAAACTACAAACAAAATCTTGGCATAAATCTACTTTTAATTAAGTAGTAGTTTCACATCTTTTTTCGAATTCACTAATTTACGATGACGAAATTTGATTTACTATTGGGCAATAAAGAACACACACACATAAAATACATCATTCCTATTACCAAACTCATCAAATTTGAAATATGTACAATAACAATAACAATAACAACAACAATAATAATAACAATAATAATAACAATAACAATAACAATAATAATTGAGACTACACTTTAACATGTAAATCCCAATTCAAGTTTAGCCTAAAAGATCCAACTTGGCGATACAACTTTTTTTTTCAAAATCGAAGAAATCAATGGAATCAATAGATAGATAGATCGTAAAATAGTGTTTTACAAAATTACCGATACAGGAATTCGTTCTTTCAATTTCGTGTGTATGGAAAAATCTGATCTTCTTGATATCGAACAATTCAGTTAGCTATTATTATTATATAATAAAAAGATGCGGCAATTACCGATAATAACCCTTTTATATGTATGGCAATTCATTAATCGATTTGTTTGACCAAATAAATTAAAAATTTATTGTAGTTAACTTTGTTCGTTGTTACTGTGTGTGTGTTATGAGTTGTAAAGAAAGAACTAGTAAAGGAAAACGTGTAAAGTACATAATTCACATGTTTGAAAACACGTGATTTTATGAAGGTTTATGTTGTGACCGAACGTGAATCTATCAAAAGCACTTTTTTATTTGACTCGGGTCCATATTTTTCTATTATCTAATACCTTTCAAATTAAATGATGATCATTGAAGTGCATCAATGGGTGGGGCAATTAATTTAGTATGTATGCAACATACTCTCAACACACATATTTTGTGCAAATTTCCACTTGCTAAACTTGGAATATTTAATGACGTAAGATCTAGAGATTGGGGATATCCTTATTTTACTGTGGCTAGTGCTCCTAATGGTTCGGTTTTCGGTTTTGTTGCAGTTCCAAGAGTATGCATTAAATGTATTTAAAATAACTTGTAATGATGCATCCCCTTGGTGAAATTCAAAGAATGTGACTGAGTTTAGGCTATATCGGTTTTAATTTCGGTTTTCGTTCGGTTTTTTCGGAACACTAACTGTGGCGTAAAATGAATACGCAGAAATTCTATACATCTTCTCGTTCAGATCAAATCAGAGATTTCGTTGTTTATGAAAGATTTTCTTTTATGCACAAGTTAAAGAATTTATAGTCCAAGAATCCTGTTATAAGTAATTAGTCTACCGTTAGCTTAATTTGTAAATCATCATGTGATGTCGAAATATCAAACTACTCACATTAAGATGTGGCGTTCAAAAACCAACTTTGTTTGATCTACAGAACTGATTTCATGGAGCGCGAAAAAACCAAACTTTAATTCAATATGATTACATAATCTACACCAGAGATCCGAGTCAAATCGGAGAATTAAAATATTTGCCAGATCTAGTTTTGTACACATTAATTAACAGTTGTTACACCTTGGCTCCAATGATCATAGTTCCATACAATATTGTAAATATGATCTAATTGTTTTTACTGGTAAAGATTTTCTCATTACACTGTTGTGCAGATAAAATGGGACACTTTACTACGTCCAGTAAACAGAAGTTACTGGACTGGACCATATTGGGACTTGTAAAATTACTTATGGTTCAGTTGACAACACTGAATGGACAATATCGTAACGAAATATTGGAAATTCGATTGTATCATCATTAACCCGGATCCTTGGGTACTTTAACTTTTTCTAATTTTACAAATGACATCATCGTCTTATCAAATGCATCATTAAATAAATAACTTAATTTATATACATTAATATTCTAATGTTCCAAAAATGATATTTCAATTATTAAAGCAAATTCCCCCTTTCAATTATTAATAGAATCTCTTCTCTCTCTTAACGGGATCCAAATCTCACCGGAGAGAAAGTAATTATGTTCTTATCTGAAATTTACCCGCTTTTGTTAAACTTCTTACGCCCTTTATTTGAATATAAAGAGAATTTTTAGAGACTAAATAAAAACAATGAATGGAAACAATGAATGGAAACAATGACCGTAATAATAATAATATATATATTTACCTTGTACGGCTTATACCCTTCATTATATATCTTTAAACTATCGACTTTTAATCCGGATAACGCATACATATTAATTTGGAAATCTAAGGTTATCGTATGACCGGATTCAGGTGTTTGTTCCCTTTAACATCAAAAAATTCGAAAATATAACATTTGCAATTTATTGATTTCATTTGAGAAAAATCATTTGTGAATAAATAACTCACGAGCTAGTGAAATTACCAGACAGAGCTGGCGTTTTTTCCTTTGGTGTTATTTTCCCTAAATCCCATCGTATACACTGATTTCAAAAAAGAACGTGGATCAATTAGGTAATAATATAGAAAATACCTTAATTAAAAAACCAATACTTACTTTTGCGACATGATCGAACATATATGAACCAAGATTACACGTAGCATTTACATTCAAAACTGATTTGCCTAATGGGAATACAAGCAGAACCTTTTCTACCGATTTACCATCTGTATTTCTGATAGTAATTGATATATCGAATTTCCCTACGTTACATTTGGAAGAGTAGAAAATATAGCATTAATCTATCAATCAATAGGAACAAGATTGTGGATGTGTGTGTGTATGTATGTAATATAGTTCGTACCTCCTGTATTTCCAATGTGTATCTGAGGCTTTACATTTATTGGTAATATTTGATTACGTGGGAGATTAACACTATCATTCATCCAAATAAGAAGTTCTTAATATTCATTTGCCAGAAAACTTGATACAAATAATATATAGATTACCGATAACTCATTAATTTGAAATGTCCGTCTGGTGGGACAAACGAGAGGACGCGTTCGTTCTCAAATTTATTGTATCTTACACATGGATGAAAACTACAGTCGTCCAATACGCGTGGATTTAAGAAGCTTAGGGTAAGATCGGGCATACCTTAAGTACAAAAATTTAATTAATACAAAAAATATGGGTTGCTTATGCCGAGATATCGTATAAATAGATATAAAATACCTGAAAGACGACAATTTGCTTGTATAAAACCATGCGTTTCAGAAGACACTATAGCACCATTACTGAATCAATATAGCAAATAATAATGGAGAAAAATCTCACTCTGATGAACCGATATACCATATTACACACAAGCTCATACATATCTACCTATAAATTCCGTCGCTGAATTCTCATAAGAAAAATTTTAAATTACCTATCAACAATCGCATCAATTTCTTCAACAATATCAAAATATATTTCATTATTGGTATATTTGACACCGGCTTTTCGCCAGGGAATACTTGATAATGCTCCGTTAGGAATATAATTTCCCACACTGAAAAAAACAAAATATGTTAACAAATGATAAGACGAATTTTAAATATAACCAAGAAAAGAAGGTTTTCTTTACTTTGTAACACCAGCAACTTGACTTATAACTTTGTTTATTATTGTTGGTGGCACAATCATCTCTTTTAAGGCATTAGGCTCTGTAGTTAATGGATATCCTGGAATCAAGAAAGCGAATATTACTGTTACCAAAAAAATTAACATAAAGCACAAATTCAATATTTATACACAAACATACCATAATCCATCATCTCTTCCAAGAGCTAAAAATTAAAATTTATTACGTTATAAATATGATAAAAAATGATCAAGCATGGTAAATAAGAATATACTCTCACCTGATACACAACATCAAAGTTATCCTTAATTGTCGCCTCAGAAACTTCACCAAGATACTCAATCAGAATATCAACAATGCGATGTTGAAATTCAAGTACCATCAACGGATCAACTATTTAACGCGTGAAAAATAAACACAATTAACCAATCACAAAAAATAAAGTGATTTTTCAAAATTAAGTAATCTCTTAACCCCAACAAGAAGGTGAAATATTTTTGTACCTTCATTAGAAATCGGACTCAAAAATGTCAAACCAGACCTATAAACGTGTACCAATTGATATTTTGGCATGGAGATCACTGGTGTCAATTCCTCGGGAGAGGAAACTTTTCCCACCTGATCATTAAAGTAGTCAACCACCTGTCGGTTAATAAGTCCACGCCAATGTTTTTCTATTATAATTTTGCTATTGTATTATATTTATAGATTAAATTTATACATTTCAAGTTAAGGCTTTTTGAGAATAAAGAAAACCCTGCATAAAGTTGTTAATACCCATTGGAGTTAAGAACAAATAAGCTATCAATCATTGCTTTGGAGAGAACAATATAACAGTTCTTAAGAATTTTTGTTGCTAGTACGTAGTCACTTAATATCATGTGATTAAATTTTTCGCCACAAAAAATCTTTGGATACAGTAAATCACTGCCAAGTATGAATGTATCAAAAAAAGACGAAGATTCTGGCAATTTGGGAATATTTTATCACTTGGATAAAACTACAGTGCTTCAAGAGGCTCGAGTATTCAACGAATCACCCATTATTCCACGAAAATGCCGCCTCCTATTAACAAAAATCATATACTTATTGTATCTTGGCGAGCCATTGGGAACAAAGGAAGCAACTGAGCTATTTTTTAGTGTAACTAAATTATTTCAATCTAAAGACGTAAGTTTGATTGAACACCTTAATAATAATAAAAGGATAGCCTTGATTTTAATCGATAATTAATAATTAAGAGATAATTAATTTCATCGCGTATATCGTGCATCAATTTTAATTAGATTGCTCTACGACAAATGGTTTATCTGGTAATCAAAGAACTATCAACTATTGCCGAAGATGTAATTATGGTGACCAGTAGCCTGATGAAGGACATGCAACCAAAATCCGAAGTTATATATCGCGCTAATGCCATCCGAGCTTTGTGTAAGATAATCGACGTAAATATCTATTTTTTATTCATAAAAAGAGATCACACATGAAAGGTTTTTCAACATAAATCTGACACTTAATTTAGGCTTCCATGCTTCCTAGTGTTGAGCGATTTCTCAAAGCAGCAATTATCGACAAGACTCCATCAATATCATCGGCTGCACTGGTCTCAAGCTATCATCTCTTTCCTGCGGGTAAAGATGTGATCCGAAGATGGGCTAACGAAGTTCACGAAGCGATCAATTCAAAACCAGCTTCGTTGGTGGGCAGCGCTTCTTCATATCTAACGTCTTTTTCAACCGGTGCTTCTTCATATGCTACACAACCATCAACAAGTAATATAAATCAGTATCATGCCTTGGGACTACTCTATCTGATTCGTCAGCATGATCGAATGGCTGTGACAAAAGTGATTCAACAGCTTGCTGGAGGTGGTAGAGGTGGTTTTGGATCCTCGAGTAACGTGCTTCGTAATCCGTTTTCTTATTGTTTATTAATTCGATATGCTGCAAAGATTCTTGATGAAGATCCAAAGTGAGTAAAAATTTATCATGATATTTTGAAAAAAAAGAAAAAGAGGATGGAATTGGATTGATTTAATTATTCTTGAATGAATTCTTGTGAATAACGATGAATTTACTAATTAGCTCAAGGCAACAAATGTATGAATTACTGGAGGCATGGCTACGACACAAGAGTGATATTGTTAATTTTGAAGCTGCGAAAGCTATTTGTCATATTAAAGATGTCACTGCCAAAGAATTATATCCAGCAATTAATGGCAAGTTTGTTATTTTATTGCTAAAAATCAAATCGTTTATTAATGATAAATGAATATTTTAGTGCTGCAGGTTTTCCTTTCTTCGCCAAAACCAACACAACGTTTTGCAGCAATTCGTACACTCAACAAACTAGCCATGACTCATCCAACAGCAGTCCAGCCATGTAATTTAGATATGGAGAATCTGATCACCGATCAGAACAGAAGTGTTGCTACTTTTGCAATAACTACATTGCTCAAGGTATATTATACATGATTCAAACGCGTTATTTATCAGAACACAATAATGATAATATTATTATCTATTATAATTCAGACAGGAAACGAGGCGAGTGTTGATCGACTAATGAAACAAATAACAGGATTCATGAGTGAAATATCAGATGAATTCAAAGTGATTGTAGTAGACGCGATTCGCTCCTTGTGCCTTAAATTTCCCTCAAAGCAAGCAGTTATGCTGAACTTTTTAAGTGGGGTGTTACGTGATGAGGGTGGTTACGAATTTAAGCGGGCGGTAGTTGAGGCGATATTTGATTTAGTAAAATTCATCCCGGAATGCAAGGAGGCTGGTTAGTGAAATCACAATTTACCGCAATAATTTAAATATTAAAATTTAATTAAATTTTTATTTTTGTAGCACTTGCTCACTTGTGTGAATTCATTGAAGATTGCGAATTCACAAAACTGTCTGTACGCGTTCTTCATTTACTTGGTGTTGAAGGACCAAAGACAGCAACACCCACCAAATATATACGATACATTTATAATCGTGTCATTTTGGAAAATTCAATTGTTAGGGCGGCTGCGGTTAGCTCACTTGCAAAGTTTGGAGTGAGTGTCGGGGATGTAGAAGTGAAAAAGAGTATTAAAGTTTTATTGACAAGGTTTGTGAAATTCTCCCTGTTCTAGTTGCGTTTTTCGTGGCCTCTATGTAACACGCATTTTTTGGATTATTGAATTCAGATGTTTGGATGATAATGACGATGAAGTACGTGATAGAGCCACTTTATATCTAAAGCTTTTGGAGGACGAAGCAGGTGCCGAAAAATATGTTAAAGATGGTTAGTTCATCAAAGAATTATAAATTCCAATTTTTAGTTATAATACTCGAGGATGCTTATCATACTTAGCATTTTCTAGATTCAACATATTCTCTTTCAGCCTTGGAGGAACAACTTGTCCAGTATGTAAGCACACTCGAAGCAACTGAAAAACCTTTCGACTTGTCTGCAATACCAAAAATCACCAAAGCACAAGCTGAAGCTGAAAACACACGTCCACGAAGCATTGATCTTAATACGACATCTCAGACTCTTGGAAGTGTCAGTGCAACAATTACCCCACATGTTGTTAATACTTCGATTTCCACCGCTAGCAGAGATGTAACTACTCCTACACCAACTGGTCTAGTTCAACAACACTCTTATGCTCCGAAATTGGCCGCAATTCCAGAATTTGCTTCGTATGGTGAATTATTTACTAGTAGCAACAAACCTATTGAGCTGACAGAGAGCGAAACCGAATATGTTGTTAGTTGTGTTAAACATATATTCAAGGAACACATTATTTTCCAGGTATTGAACACATTAAAATATATATGAAATGTTAAACGAATTATTGTGATTAATTAATTATTCGAATTTAAATTTTTAGTTTAATATTACAAATACATTAAATGACACATTATTGGAAAATGCTTCAGTTGTCATGCAACCGGAACCAGATGATGTTTCGCTAGAAGAGGTTTTAGTTCTTCCAGCACCAAAGTTGGCATACGATCAACCTGCTTCTGCCTATGTTGTTTATAAACGTATAAATCCCGAGGAATATGTGCTTGGCTCTTTCTCGAACACATTAAAATACATTGTCAAAGAATTTGATCCTACCACGGGTAAAGCTGAAGAGCAAGGCTACGAAGATGAATATCAGGCATGTAATATGATCGATGATAAAAATAACTATATGCACCTCTAATAAAATATTTAATTAATTTGAGTTCAGGTTGAAGACATTGATTTACTTGCTGGTGATTATGTCCTTCCTACATATTTGAGCGATTTCATTACTGCGTGGGACCAACTTGGTGAAGATGGACAAGTAGTCGAGACATTCGCATTAACCGCCATGAGTAGTCTACAAGGTATTTTCTTACTTATCATCATGAGAGGGAATGAATTCTAATTTTTTTTTACTTCAATTATATTGGGATCGTCTCAGATGCTTGTACCAAACTAATCAGTCTGCTTGGTATGAGCGATGTCGAGAATACCGCCACTCCTCAATACACCAGTCTACATACACTACTACTGTCAGGAACTTTTCTGGGTGGTATCAAAGTACTCGCTAAAAGTCGAATGACGTACGCGCCCAGTTCTGGTGTAACTATGGAACTAAAAGTGCGATCGCAAGATATAGAAATAAGTCGTTTCATGATTGGCGCGATCGCGTGATTATTCTAATAATTTGAAAAAGTAAAAATTTTTGTAATTATTATAGATTATAAAAAGAATTTTTGAATAAAGATATATTTCAAATAATTTATGCATCCTGAGATTTTTTAAAATTAACAGATATAATTCTTTACGTAGAATCTCTCTAAAGACTACAAACAAAGTATTCGTCTTTAAGATAAAGTAAAGAGGGAATTAGAAACTAAAAATAGTGATGCTATAAAACTATAAAAAAAAGTTAAACTATGATTTATAAATTACAGGCGATATATACATGTATACTCTTGTGATTAGTATATCATTACAAAACACTATTCAAAGAGCCGCAAAGTAAAACTCTCACATCATTTCAAGAAATAACGAGACAACTCCTCTCAAATAACTTATCATGACTGCTGTTACCCAGGAAAATTCACCGATAATTCCTCGTTAATAATACAAGATAAAGATCGTCGAGGAAACGACTCGTTAAGTCAGAATCATGTATATATGTTTTTTTAACTGGAATTATTGGGCGATGATGATGAAGATGATGAACTATCATCCTGATCAGCTTGATCTTCGTCAGAAATTCCATCTACAAAAAATAAATAAAATTATCTCATCTATATATATAACTACAATTACTTAATATGAAAAGAGTATATACCTCCAAAATATTTTACTAGCGAAATGGGACCATCTACATTCTTTACTGTTGTAACATTCGCTCGCTTATTAAAATATATATAAAAATCAAGTTAAAAAAAAGATATTCGATCAAGTTGATCTTTTTTAAAAAGATAGCCCAACTTACTAATGCGTTTACTTTATGTCGGGAGACAGTTTCATCATCCCCCGATTCAGAAGACGGTAACCCATCTTCATCTTCATCTGACTCGGATCCCGAAGAAGATAAACTATCAGACGAACTACCAGCCACAGAGGATTCAGTTCCACTCTGTCTGTTCTTATTTTCACCGTTACTAGTATTACTATTACTATTCAATAACAATGAATTGACAGTCGGTAATGGATTTTCCTCTTCGACAAAGTCTTCATCTTCTATTAACATCTCATCCTCACCCTCTTCACCCTCCTCATCCTCCTCATCCTCCATCAAGAGATTAAGTGTCGCTTCGATTTCGTCAATATCAGGATCTTGTGATTGATTATTCGGGTTCTCTTCAAGATTATCTTCATCGTTATCATCTATAGCCACCTGATCAATTAATAATTCATTTTGTGTGGAATCAGATGATTCCACTTGAGGAACTACAAGTATCTTGGTTTTTTTGGACTTTCGTGAATTTGAATTTGACGTTGGTTTTGATGGTAGGACTAGGTTTAATGTGATACTTCCTTTCGGTGTAGATGAAGAGGTGTTGATCGTATTAATAAGCTCACGATTTGGTGTAGAAGCAGCTGTTGTGGATAAAGTTGGTGTTGATGTAATTGATGCATTTAAGTCATTGTTAGTGTTTGTGAGATCGAAAAAAGTGTCTACCAATTCAAGTGTCCAAGTCTGTTTGTTGTTTATATAAAAACATTATTTAATCTTCTATTAGCAAAAATATGTCGTTGATATATAATCACTGTTGCAACAATCAATATCAATCGATCAAGTAATACGTCTTTTTCTTGGCTGGCAAGTTAGGATAAAAATTAAAACCATCGCGAATGAGCTCAAACGAGGTAAAGGAGAAAACCACTCACTCATTTTCTTTGTCACTAACCTGAGTTTGTTCATCGTAAATCAACAAGCATTTTTTGGTGTTGTTGTTTGATCCGCTATCATTAGATAATTTCGAGCCAGTGAAAGTAATTGGTTCATCATTCTAAAATAGCAAAAATAATATTAAGAGAAACTTTAAAATAGAATATAATGAGATCAATTTAACAATACTAACCGATCGACTATACAAATCAGCTCGTAACTCGTCGTCTTCAACTTCGAGCTGACCTCCTCGACTAAAATCTATATCTGTGTCCTCTGTGCTCCTGACTATTTAAATTTTTTTTGTTAAATAGCATAAAATAATAAGTATTAGAAACTCAAGGGGAAAGATATCGAAAAGCCTTTCCACAGGTAAGTAATGCAACATAAAACTTACATTGCAACGCATAAAAAGCGCTCGAAGAGCTATTTTCCTCGCCTAATAATGTGCTGCCTAGTACAAGTGTCTCTTCTCTATTAGCTTCAGCACTGATGTTCTCGACCTCCGTAGACATTGATCAGATAGTAGTTTTTCCAAATACGATTTGATGAAGTTAGCATTGGAAATTTATCGTTATCGTTATATCAGTCACACGATTTGTCACGCAATCAGAAACTCCCCCAGCGTAACCACCAAAAAAAATCGAAAATGTGACTTAATGTGGCTTATCTATCACAAACACATGATATATGTGGCTTATGATCACAAGCACTAATCTTTAATCCTCTGATTTTCCGATCCTAAGTGTGTTACAACTCCAAAAGAACAAGCCTGTTGAAACTAAAACAAATGATCATGCAAACCAGTTTATAAAGCAATAAAAGAACCAATGGAATTCTTGTGACACTGCATAAATTATAGAACTAAATACAACAATTTGAAAAATGAGAATGATAATTGAACCAAAATATAGTTTCACATACAAAGATCTATACTATTTTAATATACTGTTACAGTAGTAACATAAAAATTGTTAGTTTCAAAAATACAAAATATTCAAAAATATTCATATAACAAAAATCCTTCTAAAATAATTACTTTTTATTATTTTAATTACTTCTCATTATTTTCGATTTCTTTTCATCATTTTCCAATTACTTTTCATTATTTTTTGATTACATTTCATCATTTTCTGATTATTTTTCATCATTTTTAATTACTTTTCATCATTTCTGATTACTTTTCATTATTTTCTGATTACTTTTCATCATTTTCTGATTACTTTTCATCATTTTTGATTACATTTCATCATTTTCTGATTACTTATCATCATTTTTAATTACTTTTCATCATTTTCTGATTACTTTTCATCATTTTAAATTATTTTTCATCATTTTTGATTATTTTTCATCATTTTCGATTACTTTTCATCATTTGTTTTATTCTTTTATCAAATTAACTTATTTTAATTAGTTACTATA